TTCCTCGATTCAATAGCAATGTTAGCCATTCAAACTTATTATTAAACAAAAGTCTAGAGATTAATTTTGTCACTTTGTGTTCCATCATATTAAAATAGTGATTAGTCTACTTTAATAGACTTTTTATCGTATTTAATAATTTTGATGCGATTAACAACAAAAGATTCGCATTTCGAGTAACATTTTCCAAACATAAAGAATCCGAGGACTATAATAATCAACAGGAACCTTCCTGATTCGACCATATGGTGGTTCACCATACATACATATTATATATACATATAAAAGGTAAAGTGCACTAAATCCCCTGAACTATGACCTTATTGCAAGAAATCCCTGAAGTAAGCAAAATCTCCGAACCATTAATTTGTTGCACTCAGTGACCAACCGTGAAGTAACCGTTAACGGAAAAATGAAGTTACCTTTTAGCCTTTACTTGAACGACATCGTCTTAGTCCTTTTTTTGTTGATCAGAGATACCGAGTGAGAGAGAGATTGCTTGTTTCTTCACCAAGTCCATAGCCGCCGGTTCAAGCTTGCTAGCGAAGGGCCTGAATTCTGGCGGTAATTCGGCGATTCGACCATGGAGAAGAGTTTTGGATGAAGGATTCAGAGAAGAGTTTAACTCAGGTGGAAGAGAGTAGTTAGAGAAGGGAAGATGTAGTTCGCCAAATCTGGGTTAGAGAAGGGAATATGAATTCTAACAGCGGCAGCGGCACCATCACCACCACCACCACCGATCTGACGTCGCCAGTTTTGGGTTGGGGCGATGGGTACTACAAAGGTGTCGATCAAAATGTGGTTGCCGTTATGAAATCTGGTGAGCTTAACCTTGGCCCGCTGGCCGTCTCGATCGAACCACTGTAACTCGACGCTGCGTCGACACCGCAACTCGAGGTTTCGTTGGTGTTTAGGTTGATTTTGGTAGCTGAAATTCGAGACCTTATCGTCGCGCCACCACAGCGAAGTCGTCGGTCTGGGCTCCGATGGCCGAATCCTTCTCGGCGTCAACCTCGAATTCCACGGCCTCCCCCTCCACCACAGCGTCCACGCCGAGCAGTTCCTCGCCACCAACCTCGCTATCCACAGCGAGCCCCGCTTTCCCTATATAACTGTCTTTGCCGCCCCATGCTGCCACTGCCGCTAATTCTTCTAAGAACTCCGCAACGCCACCGACAACAAATCTTCATCACATCATCATCATCCAACAACGAATCCCAAAAACCCCCAAAAAAAAAAATTCTTTGGAGAGTCTGATTGAATTTAGTGAACAATTGCTGGTGTAGAGAGAGAGTGAACGTCTAGAGAGAGAATTGAGAAGCCTCAAAATTGAAACCCTTAGTTGTGTCATAAGGGCTAATTTAGTCATTTTAAAAAAATTTGACCCCTAGCGTGATTTAAGTGCTTTCATTTCTGTTAAATTTAGGGTTAAGTGCAGAAAACCCTCTTGATATATAGACTTTGTGCAAAACTAGTCCCTACTTTTTAAAAATGTGCATGCAGGTCCACAAAATTCAAAAAAGGTGCAGAAAAAGTCCCTCTGACCACCTTTTTACAAAAAGTAAAACTGAAAACCCCATTTTACCCTTTTGTTTCCCATTTTACCCCTCACCCTTTGTGCATATAAGCCCCTCACCTATTGTGCATATAGGCCCCCCACCCCTTAAACCCAATTCGCCCTCTCTCTCTCTCTCCATCCATGTCCATGTCTGCTTCAATTTTTTTTTTCCTCAATTTTTTTTTTTTTTTTTTGTTCATTTCTTCATTTCTTTCTTTATCCATAACTACACACTATTTATGTCATTAATTGTTTCAAGAATTTTTTTCATTTACTCTAAAACATGTCATTATCTTCAAGATCAAAAAGTCATTGTTACCCATATGGGAGGTCAGTGAAAGAATATTATTGTAAATGTGGACTTAAAAGTCCTTTGAAGGTGTTAACTACCCAACGAAATCCTGGTAGAAGGTTTTACGAGTGCGTCAATTACAGGACTGGTTCATGTGGTTTTTTGAGGTGGGAGGATAAAGAATTGCCTGATTGTTATTGTAAATTGATTTGGGATCTTATGACAGAGATACGAGAGCTGCGGGACTTGCAAAGAGTTGATTCTCCATTAGTTGGTCAAGCTCCAACCATGAATGTGAATGATGATAGGCTTTTGGAGATAGAAAACATGTTAGCAGAATTAAGAGAAATGAAGCACACAAGATATGCCCAGCTTAAAAGAAGATGTTTACCTCAGTTTAATAGTTTCATTCTCAATTTTCTTTTGGGGTTCTTCACTTGTGTTCTATTGTTCAAGCTAGTAATGTGAAACATTATAAACAAAAACATGTTTTGTAATTCTTTACTTGTCTTACATGTTCGAATGCAAGTATAACATGTTTGAATGGAAGTATAACCTGTTTGAAAGCAAGTATAACCTGTTTGTTGTTTATTTTTTAAATGCAATTACAACCTGTTTTAATGCAAACATTGTACCCAATAACACTCACATACATAAACATTATACCCAACAACAGTCACATACACAGACCTACTGCACGACCCATTCAATGGTGACTAACCATTCAATAAATGACCAACTATAGCCTGCACCACCCATTCAATGATAATATTCAATAAGTCAAATAATTTCAACCACCAAAACACAGACATAATTTACGCGAAAAAAAAAAAAAAACACACACACACACACAGATATTGCTCCATAGTTCCCAAATAACATACATACATTTTGATCCATAGTTCCCCAACAACACAGCACATACATACATATATATTACTGTCCATATCTAGTCAAACAGATATTAAAAACAAAAACAATAGTTGTCCATTTGTTAATCCATGAATCAAATACACAAAAGATTACTTCAGATTTACCATACAAGTTGCATATTGTCCACTAGCAAAAGGCAACACCTTGGACTGAAGTAAATTGAAACTTAGATAAAACAAAGGCAACAGTTTTAGACAGTGGAATCTGCAAGGAAATAGTGATAAAAAATAATTAAATCTGCCCTAAGCAAGTATGTGTTTTGAACCGAAAAGAAATAAAATTAAAAATTCATTTACCTAAAACCACCAATCTTGGCTTTCTTGGGTACAATTCCCTAGTGTATGTGGCATGTCAATAATCTGAGACTGAGAAACATTGATAACCTATAAAGATAGTAAAGTTAAAGTTAAAGTTAAAGTTGAGTTGACAACACTTGTAAAATAAAAACAAAAATTAGTATAAATCAATGCATATACCTCACTGTTGATCCCAGTAGCCATCACTGGGACATCAGTCAAGTTGCCTGCACCAATGTCAACATTTACAGCCCCATGACTGCCACCATCCCTGACTCTCATAGCACCTCTACCTATGCCATTCCTACCCCCAACACCACTGCCACCACCCCTGCCTCTCACAACACCTCTACCTCTACCTATGCCAGTCCCATTCATCACCATAGTAGTGCCACCACCAACTCTCAGTGAAGTACTTCCCAACACATTGTTACTCCCAACACTTTTACCAATGCCATTCTTACTCCCAACACTTCTACCAATTCCATTCTTACTCCCAACACCACTGCCTCTCACTGAAGTACTACCCATAGCATTGTTACTCCCAACACCACCACTGCTAATCCCATTCATCCCCATAGTAGTGCCACCAACACCTCTACCATTCCCATTAAGAACAGTTTTAGTAGCCTTTTGAACATGCAATACTTCAAGTTGAGGGTTTTTGGGTCTACCTCCTTTGCTTTTAGGTGGTCCTCTCTGCACTTGTTCATTTTTGCAAGTCCTTGAGTTGTGACCACTTAATTGACATTTTTCACAAATAAGGTAAGCCCTTTGTTTGTACATATGTTTTCCAGTTGATGTACCTTCATCATGAGCTTTCTTCCTCAATTTCTTTGGCCTGCCTGGAGGTTTCCTAGCTATAGGAGGAATAATTGGAACCACCCCAGTTACTTCTCTCATGTTTCCCAATGTCATTGGATAAACCATCCCTGCATATGACTTCAAGAATGTTTCCCTATAAAAGTTTGGGTTAACAAACTCTTCAAGAATTGCCCCTCTTCTTTTTTATATAGCTGCACATGCATGCTTGCATGGGATACCTGTAACATCCCATGCCCTACAACTATAACTTTTTTTATCTGAGTCAACACTTTCATTCACTGCTCCATTTTCAACCTCATAAATGGCTTTTCCAGAGAGGTGAACAAGACAACTCATTGAATTCCTCTTGTTCAGTTTTAGCCGAGCTGCTGGAGCTGGACACAACAACCCATTTCTACCCTCCATGTACTCTTTTTTCTCTTGATACCTCCGCAACAAGGACTTTCTGATCATTTCAAGCATGGTGATGATGGGCTTATCTCTGGCCTTTAGTGTGTGTGAATTCCATGATTCACACATATTATTGCTGTTAAGGTCACACTTTGACCGGTCTGAGTACTTACACTTAGCCCACAGGTAAGGGGGTATCTTGGCTAACCAATCATATGCATCTGTGTTAATTTCCCTGATTCTCTGCATGTGTCCCTGAAAGTCTGGCATTGTGAAAGAATTTGCTGCATCTCATAACTCTTGCTTCAACTCCAAGCTTGGGAACTTCTTTTTGAAGTTGTCATACATGTGCCTCACACAGAATCTGTGATCTGCCCCAAGCTTCTCAAGTGTGTCAACCAAACCCTATAATAAAATCATAATATCAGTAAATGTAATTTTAAACTATTTGAAAATGTATTTTAAAGTATCAGCAAATGTAATTTTAAACTATCTGAAAATGTATTTTAAAATATCTCGAAATGTATTTTAAAGTATCAGTAAATGCATTTATACTATCAGTAAATACAGTTTTAAAATGAAAGCCTGTAATTTTATCTTAAACTATCTAAAAACTAAAACAGTAACATACCTTTTGTCTGTCTGAAATGAATGTTATTGCTTTGTGGGGGCTAAGCAAAACCATGAGGTTATCCAGAAACCAATCCTAAGTCTCATTTGTCTCTGCTTCCACAATACCAATTGCAATGGGATAAAAGCTATTATCCTCATCTCTACCAATAGCACTTAGTAAATGTTGATTGTAATGAGTTTTTAGAAAGCAGCCATCAAAGCCAATGAATGGTCTACAACCCTCTTTAAAGCCTTTCCACATTGCATCCAATGAAAAAAATAGTCTCTCAAACCTTGTAGACTTCCCATCTAGCTCCAAACATACATCAACCTTAGCAACACTTCCAGGATTTGTCTCCAATACCAACTGACAATACTCTCTGATTTTTGAGAATTGATCTTCATGTGTGCCATCAATTATCAGCTGACATTTCCTCTTTGCCCTATAAATTTTGAACCTATTAACTACCAGGTTCAAATCATCAGAAATCTGACCCATAAAACCAGAAATTTTCCACTCAGGGTCCCTCCTAAACTTATGCACATACTTATTTGCAAGATAAGAAGATGTTGCTAGTTTGCTTGTTTCAACTTCAGAGCAGTTATGTTCATCATTGAATGTACTAATCACAATGGCACCATTTGATTTTCTCTTTGAAGCATGTATCCTTCACCCAAAGTCATTTCTACATTTACATGTGACCCTTTGTCCATCATTTTTAACAAACTTGATGTCATATTTGTTCTTTATAGCATGTTCTCTCAACACATCTTTGAATTCTGCAAATGTAGCAAACTCCATTCCCATCATTAATATTTTTTCCTTCTGTCCCATTTCCCTCCTAGTAATGAATTCTGATTTTTTGCAAGGAATATGTATCTCATCATCTGAGTCACTATGGATACTCCATAGCTCATCTCTTGGTGCATAAACTAAGACATCATCTAACTCTTCACTATTTTCCCCATTATATATTTCATCATCTTCATCAACTGAGACATCATTGTGCACATTATCTTCAACACTTGTAGCCTGCACATGGTCAACACTTGCAGCCTGCACATGGTCAACACTTACAGCCTGTATATGGTCACTGTTAGGCTGCATATGGTCACTGTTAGGCTGCACATGGTCACTGTCATCCATTGATTGGGTTAAGTGTTCTGTCCACTGATGCATAACTTGTGCACTAAACCTAGAATCCTCATTCTCAGTATTAGTGACATAAATCTTAATCAAAGATGAACTGTTGTAGGCCATAAATATCTGCATAACACTCCCATCATTAATTATCTGCATCAAGTGCCCACCAATAGGTTCTCTGTAGGACATTTTACTCTCACCCAACTGCAGCATATCCACCATGTCTTCTAATTCAAAGTAGGACATCATGTCAGGGTCCACATTGTTAACTAGCTCTATGCTACCACCAATATAGTTGTTACGTTGATTCAACTTTCCCGAATGATGCAACTGAATTATGCATGTCTTCCCCATTTATTAAACAACCATACAAATATAAGCCGTCACAAACCACAACTATATATACTTCTATCACAAGCATGCATGCATATCAAAGCGGGATCTATAGATCTGTCATGCAATATGCATGTCATGCACTAAAAAACAAAGTTAGTGTATAAATAATATAAATAATAAAGACATAGACCCAACATCACATATAGAAAGATTCCATCAAAAGTATAAACAAACGGAACACAATTATTCTGAGGTACAATTGTAGCACTTGGAGCCAACATAAAGCTTAGCATTTTCTGTACACATGGAACCACAATAGTTTACAAAACCCTAACAATAAATAAGGTTAATCAACCCATAATAATGCATTGGACAAACCATAAAGGAAAGGGACCACTATTGTTTACAAAACCCTAACAATAAATTAATAAAGTCAATCAACCCATAATAATGCATTGAACAAAGCATATGTGCATATAAAAATCCAAACTTTTTAGTATAAAACCCCAATTTAATGAAGACCAGATCATCATATTTGGCATATATGGGTCACAATCATGCATTGGGTCACACAAACATATATATACTGAATCTATAGGCAAAAAGCACAAATAGACCAACTTACTGACAAACCCCTAATACCACTGAATCATACATACATGACACAAACATACACAAACATATATATAGGCCAAAATTGCAAGAGAATATAAGAAAAAATGATAAACCCATTATTGTTTACAAAACCTAACTGTTAGGAAAGAAATACGAAAAAAATCAGAAAACCCTAACAAAATGTTGAAACAAAATCGACCATGTATGCATCCACAATTTAAGAACAAAATCAAAATCCGAAAACACTGACAATTTATGAGACGAATCAGAAAACCCTAACAAATGTTGAAAGAAAATCGAACCACATAATCATATAAAACATTCAGCGAGAGTACAAGTCTTCACAGTGCAAAATTTTACACAAATCTAACACAAATAACACGATTTAAGAACACAATTTTGATTTAAGAACACTTATGACCAAAGGAGTCTTCACAGTGCCACACCACAACAACACAATCGATCTTTCACCAACTGTACAACTCTTGCAAGTTATCTTCAACCGATCAACAAACAAATACAGAGATTCAATCGATTTGGAGAACAAATACACATGCACACGGGTTAGGGTTTCATAACACTAAGGAATTTAGGTCGGTCTCTCTCATACGCAATGCAAACTAAGGGTTGAAAATGGTTAAGTATATTTTATATAGTTGGGGCTTGTTTGGTTTTATATTTAATTATATTCAGGTTTAAGTTATCCGTATTTTATATAATTTGAGATTTATTTTATCCTACTGCCAAACAAACACCATTTTACACAAATTTGGACAAAAAGGTCATTTTACATGGCCCGTAATTATAATCATTAATTTATTCAACCGAACTGAGGGTATTATTGTCATTTTACACCATCTAGGGACTTATTTGCACCAAATTGATAGTATAAGGGTTTTTTTTTACCACACAGGGACTAATATGCACTATATCGATATTAGAGGGGGGTTTTCTGCACTTTACCCTTAAAATTATAATGGTGGATTAACATTTGCAACAAATTGAATAGTTTAGAGAGTTAAAGTGTCTTTGTCATAGTTCAGGGATTTTGTAAGAGAGAAAAGAAAGTTCAGGTGTTTAATGCACTTTACCTATATATATATAGTCATAGATGGTTCCAACTGAGTCAAAGTAGCCTTATTAGGTCCACAAACCTCACCAGCCATTGTCAAACGCGGTCTGCTCAATTCTTTAGACTTGTGGTATTTGGTATACTGGATGTGCCTTGTAGCCCAGGTGGTGGGCGAAACTCATGGGTTAGTGTGAGTGCCAGTGTTCGAGCCATCCTACTAACTACTAACTCTTCTCCTTCCCTTTTAACCACTAACTCCTAACCCCAGCAAAATTGCCAAGTGAAAAAAAAAAAAAAAATGTAGTTGGTGTACTCTATTATATTTTTGTAACATTTTTATATACCACTCCATATTCATCACATGGCCGTAGTTAAAATTTAAAATAGGCACGGTGTTGGAAAAATTAAAGATTCGTTTGGTTCATCAGAAATTGACGGTAGAAAGCAAAAGGAAAAGAAAGTGAAGTGAAAGAAAAGAAAATTATGTTTCTATCATGTATTTGGTTAGCATGATTTTTTTAAAGAAATTTGTGAGAAAATATTATTTCATTAATTTAGTTAGTAAGAAAGTAAAAAGAAAATGATTTATATGCCGAAACTATCTGTATGAATTCCATATTAAGTAAAATACATCATGCAACAAGCATAATAAAAAAATACTTTTGCTACACTTGTCCTCTTAACTTTTATTTTAAAATACTAATAAGTATCACTAAATTATAATTTTTAGTGACAGCCAAATCACTAAAAAAAAAAAAAAAAAAAAAAAAAACCACTCTATTTTCTTTAATAATAGGAGGGCAAATTTCTCAAAACCCCAAAAACTATCAATAAGTGATCATAAAATCTCAATCTATTTGTAAAAACCCCAACACTATTATAAAATTATCACATTGCCTCAATATCCGAGTCCGACCCGTTAACCGGGCTGTGAAATGACAAATTTAACCTTATCATTTAATGTTAAATTAAAAATAGAAAATTATTATTTTTTAAATTACAAAAATACCCTCTCCTATTCTTTTTCTTTTTCTTTTTTCTTTTTTGTTTCTTCTCATCATCATCTCCGGCAGCAAGAATACTGCCGGTGATGAAGCAAATCGCCGCCGGCAGAGACCAAACCAGGTATCAATGAAGAAATCAAAGCAAAGACAGCTCCAGTATTGTGTATAATAAACCAAACTGGGTGTCATACATTTGCACCAACACAAAATATAAAGAGAGAAAAAGTAAAGAGAGAGAGAGATGGAGAAGAAGTCGTGGTTCAGCTTCAAGAGACTAGGGAAGAAGAGTTCGTGGACATGGAGGTTCAGGAGTTCTGGGTTTCGGTGGAAGAGGCTGACTTTTCAGATTGGGTTCATCAACGACTCTCTCTTCATGATCGTATCTGTGTTTGAAGCCATTGTTCTGGTCTCAACACTCTGTTTCTTCTACCTATGTTGCGGTTGTAACTTCTGAGCCTTTAATTGGAAGAATTGGGTTTCCTGGTATTCTAGAGAGAGAATGGGTACGTTGGAGTGAGAAACAGAGGAGGAAGATTGGGCTTGAGATGGAGGAATGGTCAAATCTTGCGTGTGATTGAATGTTCTGAAATTCAAGTCTAATGGGCCTTTTTTTTTTTTTTTTTACGAAGAGCATAAAGTTTCTCTCTCATTTAAATTAGGTTCCATGAGAAGAAAGATGAAGACGATGAGGTAGTGGAAGAAGAGAAAGGTGGGTGAGTCGTCGTGTAGCATTTTCACTCGCTCTTCTCCATATCTCTCGATGGTTCCTTAATATCTGTGACTTTGAGATTCGGCGCTTTAATGGCGTCATCGTCAAATCTTCATGACGTTGATGCATACACTTTTCATTGGTGAATCATTCTTCTCTCAATTTTGAAAAGCTTCTGGTCGTCATCCATGGTGTTTACCAGGTCGCGCTCTGGCAACCTAGTTGATCGGTAGAAGAAGGGCACAATCTTGGGCCGCCGATGAGAAATAAGCAATGGTAAGCAGCGACCAGTCCAGCGACCAATGGTAAGTAGCGACTAGTCCAACGACCTCGCTGGAATGAGAGGAAGCTGACAGCGACCTGGTTTGGTCGCTGTCGGCGGCGATTAGCTTCATTGCCGGCAATATTCTTGCTGCCGGAAAAAGAAAAAGAAAAAAGGAAAGGGTATTTTTGTAATTTTAAAAATAATAATTTTTTATTTTTTAATTTAACATTAAATGATAAGGTTAAATTTGTCATTTCACAGCTCGATTAACGGGTCGGACTCGGATATTGAGGCAATGTGATAACTTTATAATAGTGTTGGGGTTTTTAGAAATAGGTTAGGATTTTATGATCACTTATTGATAGTTTTGGAGGTTTTGAGAAATTTGCCCTAGGAAATGAAGAATTTTTATCTGTTCCTCTAGCAACAAACGGTCAATCTCACCGCATAGGATCCACCCACCTAAAAAATGGTCTTTATATTAAATCTACAAGTATAAAAGGAGGGAACATATACAGGTATCAAACATTACATATCAAAAAAGTGAAGGGAGAAAGAGATCTAGAGAGAGAGAGAGAAATGGAAGGGGAGATCAACAACTTCATCAAGGTATGGATATCTGTCTTCATATCTCTATGCTACTGCTATGGTATTGGCAAGATTGTACCCAAAGGCACACCGAGACTGCTCACAATAGTCCCTGTGGTGTGTCTCTTCCTAGCTTTGCCTCTCAATCTAAACTCTATGCATCTTGGAGGCACAAGCGCATTCTTCATTGCTTGGCTCGCCAACTTCAAACTCCTCATGTTTGCATTTGGTAAAGGCCCTTTATCAGACCCTTCAATTTCTCTCCCACAATTCGCTGCACTCGCTTGTTTCCCCATCAAAATCAAACAAGACCCACCTCCAAATCACAATTCCGAACAAAAACCACCTCCCAGAAATTTCAGAAAAGGCCACAAATCGCCTTTGAATTACGCTACCAAATTTTTACTTTTGGCCGGGTTGATCCGTGTGTATGATTACAGTGAATATATACATCCAAAGGTTATACTTTTTCTGTATTGCTTCCATATATATTTTGCTTTGGAGATCATACTGGCCATGGTTGCAGCCCTGGCTCGGACCCTTTTGGGGTCGGAGCTTGAGCCACAGTTCAACGAGCCCTACCTCTCAACCTCGCTACAGGACTTCTGGGGTCGGAGGTGGAACATGATGGTGAGTCGTATTCTACGCCCAACCGTATACGAACCCATCCTCGGTCTCTCAACACGGCTTTTGGGCCGGAAATGGGCCCCTCTGCCAGCCACTTTCAGCACGTTTGTGGTGTCGGGTATCATGCACGAGCTCATATTTTATTACTTGGGCCGCGTGAAGCCCACTTGGGAGATCACGTGGTTCTTCTTGCTCCACGGGGCGTGTTTGTTGATTGAAATTGCGATCAAGAAGGTCGTGAAAGACAGGTGGCGGTTGCCGAGAATAATCTCCGGGCCATTGACGGTGGTTTTCGTGTTGAGTACCGGTTTTTGGCTGTTTTTCCCGCAGTTGTTACGGTGTAATGCTGATGCTAGAGCGTTTGCGGAGTATGCTGCGGTGGGCGCGTTTGTGAAGAATGTCGGCCGGAATTTAACGGTCAAGTCTTTGAATGCAACCTGGGTTTAGTCAACATTTCAAATTTATGTATATTTATGTATCATGTTCTTATGTTTGTGCTATAAATATAGATTACAAGATAGATTAGGTTTATGGGAAAGGTCATAAGACTCATAACTGTGAACCATTTGATCAATTACACGAAAATTACACTGAAGATTTTGATCAATGGTGTTGACTGATTATAAAAAGTTTATGATTTTGATCAATGGTTTTGATTATAAAAGTTGATTTTGATTATATTTTGGCAATTTCACATACGGGACATTTTAGTCTTCAAATAAGTGTTTATTCTGTGGTGAGTTGGAGCCATTTTGATAAATTTTGTGGAAAAGGGTAATTAGGTAAGTGGATAAAAAAGTAAACATAAACATCCGACCAAATCACTCTGAAAAATGATTACGAATTGAGCGGTATCGACTAAGACAACCGTTTTAAAAAATGACTGCGAATTGAGCGGTACCGACTAAGACGACGATTTTAAGGTATCATTATTACTATCTGTGCTACTTTATTGACTTTGTCACGAGTCTTAATTAACAAATCAATTTTTAAGAGAGATATAGTATATAATACTGACCACTTAGTATTGAAGTTATGTGTTTGATGTCATACTTCAATGGACAAACAAACTACCAAATTCGAATTTTCATTTATTTTTAATTAAACGTTGTAAATAAAAAATGTTACTTAAAGTATTTTATAACTAAGATATCATAGTGTTATTATGGGAGCTCCTCTTGAGCAAACTTGTAACTCCTTAGGAAAAGAGCCATAACGTACATTTAATTAATAAATTAGTACAATTTTTTTGAAATATATAAAAGGTCAAATCAATAATTGAATACATGTTTTAATTTAGTGGTTAAAGAAACAAAAATTTCATTTCAACTAATTTAATGAAAATAAAAACTGGAAAATGACAATTTCTATATCATCAATTCTAATATATCCTAGTTAAAGTGTATCAATCAAGGGACTCCACAATCCCAGATGGACCCTATATTTGATATCTCCAACTATTTATTAGATATGTTCATGTAATAAGATTTTTGTAGATGGGTTGTTCCTCTACCATGAAAAATTTATGCCTATATTATCACTGCTCAAAATTTGAATGCCACTTTCTCTGCGCCATAAGATATTAAAAAAAAAGAAAAAAAGAAAGTAGTAAAGCCCAATCAAATTACCAAAAAAATAAAGAAGCCCAATAAAATCTAAACCAAATCTTCAATATCCCCACCCCCACCAACCAGAAAATAAAGCTTTCCAACTCAAGATTGTAAAGTCCAAAAGTAATCAAAAGTGGAGACATTATTAGCATTTTGACTTTTACTTCTCCTTCAGCTTTTTAAAAATACTTTTCATATTGTTTGTGCTATGACTTTGCGAATTCAAACATCACCTAACCCTCTGTCTCTGTGTGTGTGTGTGTGTGTGTCTATATATATATATAGATATATGTGTGTGAAATTTGTAACGACTATTGTGGATCATTTTAAGCCACCTTAGCTGTCCCAATATGTAACACAAGATATGAGGTCCCCTGAAAAGCCTTCCAAATACAACTGGCCTACAGTGGCCTAATTAATTGCTAGCCTTAGGCAGAGTCAGTTCTGGGGTGCTTAAACAGAGGGATCCACCAGAAAATGGTTGACGGGCCTACAATTTTAAATTCCAATAAGTCCACCAAATATTAAGTTCCTTCACAAAGTTTTCCTATACCACACCTTTCCACACTATAGTGCTACCACACCATGTGAGAATCACGCACCCTGACACTCACACATATATATATATATATATTTTTTTTTCTAGTTGGTATTCAGACATATTACCTCCACTGAGATTTGAATTCCTAACAATTTTTTAAGAAATAAGAGCCTTATACTATTAGACCACAGACCTTATAGAATGGTGGACTGTAGTTGGTATATACGTAAATATATTAACTTTTTCACAAACAAAAGTCTGTTGGGCCGTTTGGTCAAGCACAATCACACATATTTGTTGTTTCAATATTTTCATACGTATCATTCACAACCTTTGGATCTATATATGTGGGAAAAAAAAGGACTAGAGAGAGATAGCTAGAGAGAGAAAACATGGAGGGTGAGATCAACAACCTCATCATGGTATGGGCTTTGGTGTATGTGTCTGTATGTTACTGCTATGGTGTAGCTAGGATCATCCCAAAAGGTAGAACCAGACTCATCACATTCCTCCCAGTGGTGTCTCTCTTTCTATTCCTCCCTCTTAACTATCTACATTCCATCCATCTTGGAGGTGGAACCTGTGTCTTCATATCTTGGCTAGGCAACTTCAAGCTCCTAATGTTTGCTTTCGATGTGGGCCCACTAGCCGACCAATCACTCCCTCTGCCCCACTTTGTAGCTCTTGCTTGTCTCCCCATTAAATACCAAAAAAACCCACCCCCACAACCTCCTTCAAATTTAAAAGTGGGCCCTAATAAAGACATCCCATATCCTGAAATCTCCAGAAGTGGCATCGATTCGCCTTTAGTTTATGCATTTAAGGGTCTGGCCTTAGCCTTATGGGTCCGTGGGTATGATTACAGCAACTATTTGTATCCGAAGGTGGTTAGGTTTCAAATTATTATACACTTGTGTGGTACCGTGGAGTTCTTATTCGCCATTTTTGCAACCCTAGCTCAAGTGCTGCTACGGACCAAGGTCGAGCCACAATTTAACGACCCACACCTCTCGACGTCGCTACATAATTTTTGGGGTAGCCGGTGGAACCTCATGGTTTCGGATACCCTACGTTCCAGCATATACAGGCCGATAAGGAACCACTTTCGGCCCATTTTGGGACATGAATGGTCCTTATTTCTAGCCCTAATGGGGAGCTTTCTCGTGTCGGGCCTGATGCACGACCTTGTATTGTACCAAACTGGCCGCATGAGGCCCAAGTGGCGCTGCACGTTGTTTTTTGTAATCCATGGGCTGTGTTTGATAGTTGAGATTGTTACGAAGAACAAGTTAAGTGGTAAATTTCGGTTGCCGTCAGTAATTTCAGGATTGGTAACCCTTGCGTTTGTGGCGGTTACTTTTTCACGGCTGATTCTGACCGAATTACTACAAATTCGTGTTGTTCAAAGGTTGTTTGAAGAGTATGCGGCCGTGGGCACTTTTATGAGAGAGATTATTCATTGAGTGTGTTTTTTTAACCCCATACCTTCACAAACCTTTCAATGCTGGTTTGTATTAAAAAAAAGTAGAAAATGGTGCATGAAACCCAATAACTGACTTTGTAGAGGAACATTAAACTTACCTTTAAGTTAGGTCAGATCTGTAAATTTTGCCCTCACAACCATGTGTCTTTGGACTAGCAATAATAACGTAAATTTGAGAAATTTATGGTCATCTGCAAACTACCAATATTAATGTTCTTTATTCCTCGTGATGAGTTATAGATTACAAACTTTATTGTTGTAGTAAAAGTAGTTTTTTATTGAATGCAATCACAATTTAAATCATAATTTGAGAGAGACCACATGCATACTCAAATTCTCATTAAAATAGACATTAGCTATTGATCTTACATTGAAAAGGATTGAGGAAGTCAAAAACTTAAGACCCATTACACTATATTTGTTGTTATTTATTTGTTGAATTGTGATTGACAAGAGCTACGTAATATCGAATCATTTAAAAATTTCACTTTGTTTACTATATATATGTATGGATGACGCAAGTAAGGATGTGTATAAGGCTATTCATCACTTTGTCATTCATCTACATTTTTTTTTTAGTTAAGGTTTTTCATTCATCTACTTTTTAAAAAGGTTTTAACGTGGCTTTTATTTTATTAATTCCTAATAAGAAGAAAGCAATTAAAGAAAGTTTATGAGTTCTGACCTATTTAACTAAAATCATGACTAATAAACTTGCTTTAATTTTACCCATTGAACCTTCATTAGACGGATTTATGGCAAATGATCGAGTTAGTGTGAGGCTTTGGTGCTGCTACTAATCCTTCCTTGGGCATCAAAATGAATCTTAGTAAGGCATATGACTCTACTTTATAGCAGTTCATGTTTGGTCGCACCACTCCTTTAGTTTTGGTCACACTTGAATATTTTGGGCGAAGAAATGTTTGAATACATCAACTAAATTTACGTGAGTAGAAGTTGACGTCATTATGAAGTTAGAAATTTTAATGATATTATCATGATGTCAGTCCATAGTTGCATAAATCAATCAGAATTATCCAATTCTTAAACTCCAATTGTTTTTTCTTTATATATATATATATATATATATATATATATATATATATATTTAATTTGATATAATTAATTATCTATATTTGTGCCGTTCTTAAAACTAAACCAACTTATAACAAAGATATATATTATGTAGTAATACACATGCAGCTAGCATTTTCAGATGACGAGCTTGACAACGAGTCTCAATTGATAAACTAACTTGAGAGAGATCGTCAAACAAGCTACAAATTCAAATTGTCTTCTTCTTTTTTTAATCAAACATTTATTTTAAGATTCATCCAAGTATTTTATAAATAAAATTTTCCACACAAAGCCTTTACAATTTTAATCTGATGATTTTGACTAAGATATGAGATATTAGTGCGAAAAAATTAAAGATTCACCTGAATTAAATAGTTTCAAATGAATAGATACTTCTACGTTGTAAATTTTTTATTTTTTTTATATTTATTTTAATGTATATTCGTAATGTTATTTGGATTTTGGACTATGTGTATTTGTTCTTATATAAGATGAAGAGTGTTAGATGTCTTGACAAAATGTTCAAAATATATTGATTGATTGTTCAGAATATGTTAATCAAATGTTTGAAATTGTGTCAACTGTCCTAACTACACCGATTGAGTGTTCGAAATAATAAAAATTATTTTTAAATTATAAACGTATGACTAACTATGAATTATTACCATCTTACAAGTGCATGTACTTCCAAATTTCCAATACAAGGGTTCTAAACCCCAAAGGCGATGAAGAATTGAGACATTAACATGTTCAATTTTACTCTTCCTCCAACTTTTAATTTTCTGAACAACACCCAACCCACACTAGTGCCATGAAACCATGTAACAATATTCACACGCACACACAAACAAAGGTTGTTTGGCGGTTTGGTCCAAGTCCATCACACATATTTGTTGTTCCAAAGATTTTCATACGTATCGTTCACAACTTTTGGATCCAAACACTACCATTATATATTGTATTGTATTGTATATGTATGTGTGTGTGTGAGAGAGAGAGAGAGAGCATGGAGGGTGAGATCAACAACTTTATCATGGTATGGGTTTTGGTCTCTGCGTCTGTATGTTACTGCCATGGTGTAGCTAAGATCATCCCAAAAGGTACAACTAGACTCATCACATTCCTTCCAGTGGTGTGTCTCTTTTTAATCCTCCCTCTTAATTATCTACATTCCATCGCTCTTGGGGGTGTGACCTCTTTGATAATCTCTTGGCTGGCCAACTTCAAGCTCCTTATGTTTGCTTTTGATGTGGGCCCACTTGCAAGCCCATCACTCTCTCTGGCCCATTTTCTGGCTCTTGCTTGTCTCCCCATCAAATTCCAACAGAACCCACCACCACAACCTCCTACAAATTTAAAGAAGCCTCTAAAAGGGGGTCCAAATAAAGAACGCCCATATACTAAAACCTCCAAAAGTGGCCTTGAATCACCTTTAAACTATGCTATCAAGGGTCTGGGTTTAGCCTTGTTGGTCCGTGGGTATGATTACACCAAGCATTTACATCCAAAGGTGGTCAGATATCAAATTATTGTGCACTTGTGCGTTCACACGGAACTCCTCCTAGCCATTTTTGCAACCCTAGCTCAAGTTGTGTTACGGACCAGGGTCGAGCCACAGTTCAACGACCCACACCTTTCGACGTCACTACAAAACTTTTGGAGTAGTAGGTGGAACCTAGTGGTTTCGGATACCCTACGTTCGAGCATATACAGGCCTATACGGAGCCACTTCAAGCCAATATTGGGCCATGAATGGTCCCTCATTGTAGCCTTAATGGGGAGCTATCTCGTGTCGGGCCTGATGCACGAGCTCATATTCTATCAGATGGGCCGGTTGAGGCCCAAGTGGGGGAGCACATTGTACTTTCTAGTCCAAGGGGCATGTGTGGTGGTTGAGATTGTTGTGAAGAAGAAGTTTAGTGGCACGTTTCAGTTGCCTGCGGTTATTTCAGGAGTGCTAAGTTTTGTGTTGGTGGGTGCTTGTTTTTCTCATCTGGTCCTCGATGAATTATTGCAATTTCAGATTGCTGATAGAATGATTGATGAGTATGTGGCTCTGGGCACATTTATGAAGGATATTATATCTCTATGTACTACCAATAATAAACTATTTAGACATGTTTTTATTTGATTGAGTGCTTTTTTACGCTCATAATTTCATAAACCTCACTTGCTTATATGAAGGAAAAAAAAAGTGTTGTCACCCAATAATAAGTGTAGGGTTGATATTGGACGAACCGAACATTTGGTATGTCCACTAATTAAAATATATTATTTAATAAATTTTTTCACTTACATCAGTAATTTTTATATATAAGTGGGACCAATTTAATTTCATTAAATAGTACATTTTTTATTGAGTGGGCACACCGTGGTATGCCACTTACCTAGCATATTGTCACGATCCGATTCCTAACGATGCTATAAGCATAGAAGATACGCATGCTGGTTGGCTAAGAACATTCATTGACTGGGAATAGTTCCAGGGAAGGGGCGTGCAGGACCACATGATGGTACCTCTTCAGAGTTCAGGCAGGTCGACTCGGTTCAGTTCGAGGTGCTTGTCGCTAGTCTTGGACTTGACTATGAAGAAGGGAGTTGGCCATCCCTGCACAAACTGGTCGGGAGCTGGAGTCGTTCCCCTGACGAGGTCATGGCAGGCCGAAACCAGTCAGCATGTATCCTTGGGAGGGCAGGTCGTGGTGGCTGATCAGGGCGCTTGCGCGAACTGAAGCAACGCCTTGGTGCCGCACGGGCCGTGCCGCTGCGCCAAATCTCTAGGCCCGTGACAAATGGTATCAGAGCAGGACTTGGGGAAAAGCATAGAGGTGTGCCCTCTTGTCGATCCGGGGGTCTTGAGAATGAAGACGGTGCACTGAAAAAGCGTCGGTGGGTAATCAATGCTGTTGGAGGAGAGCCTCCATCTCCCCATGAAGATGCGTCCTTTAAGCCGGAGGGCCGCGCGCATCGGATGGCCGGAGGGCCGCGCGCACCAAAGTTCTTGCAAGTTCAAGAGGCGTGCAAACCGTTGTGAAGGGCAGGTATCAAGTCAGCCGGAGGGCGCTTGTTTGCTCGGAGTGTCGTGGAGGCGGCATAACGTGGGGTTGCGTCCCGAAGAAGTGGGCGTCCCTTTAGCCCGAAACCCTATCATTGGGCGAGTGCAGCCAGGGGTTGTACAAGGAAGCGATGGTGGGCAGGCGAGCATACCACTTGGAGGAGACAGGCTTTGGAATGTTGGACGCAGCGGAGTCAGCGCCGCACTGCGACGAGGGCGTCGCAGGATTTGGGTGGGGGAGAATGTCACGATCCGATTCCTAACGACGCCATGAGCATAGAAGATACGCATGCTGGTTGGCTAAGAACATTCATTGACTGGGAATGGTTCCAGGGAAGGGGCGTGCAGGACCACATGATGGTACCTCTTCAGAGTTCAGGCAGGTCGACTCGGTTCAGTTCGAGGTGCTTGTCGCTAGTCTTGGACTTGACTATGAAGAAGGGAGTTGGCCATCCCTGCACAAACTGGTCGGGAGCTGGAGCCGTTCCCCTGACGAGGCCATGGCAGGCCGAAACTAGTCAGCATGTATCCTTGGGAGGGCAGGTCGTGGTGGCTGACCAGGGCGCTTGCGCGAGCTGAAGCAACGCCTTGGTGCCCCACGGGCCGTGCCGCTGCGCCAAATCTCTAGGCCCGTGACAATATGCTCCAATCACCATTATTTTTTCCATTCATGTAGTGTCTGATTTGCTGGGAACCTATTGAGTTGTGCAAAACAATAACCAGTCAAGACTAGTCTAGAAATTAACGACAGTGGAATTTATACAACCTCTTTGCTATGTTTGGTTGCCTGGAGAAATTCTTTCAATTTTAATTTCAAAACATTAATTTTTTTGCAATCGAACATATAT